CCTGAGGCGAGGAGTACGTGAAGCCGAAGCGCTGAAGGACCTGCTGCACCATGTGTGACTGAGTCAAGGTAATGGTGCGGCGTGCTCTGTCCCGAGTGGTCTGCAAGCCAAGGTAGCTGCGCAGTTCACCCAGGTCTGTGCACGTGTGTCTCTTCAGCAGCTCGGACTTCACGTAGGCAAGTCCAGCAGTGTCCGCTGTGGCAAAGACCAAGTCGTCGACGTACACGAGGATGTAGAACGGCGGCAGGGAAGTGTCGGTGCGAAGAAACACCGACGGGTCAGCAGTAGAAGGAGCAAACTCAAGGGCCGCAAGCGTAGTCCTCAGTGTGTCGTGCCACTCACGCGGTGCCTGGCGGAGACCGTAGACTGGCCGTCGGAGGCTCCACTGGGTGCCAGGAGGGAAAGTCCCAGTGAAGCCAGGTGGACGGCGAAGCCAGATCTCCTCGTGCAGGCTACCCTGCAAGAACGCAGTGCTGAAGTCGAGAGAGTGAAGCTCGTAGTCGCGCTGAGCGGCTATGTGCAGCAGCACCCGAAGAGTAGTCATCTTCGGGGTGAGAGAGAAGGTCTGAAAGTAGTCAACTCCCTGCCGCTGACTGAAGCCACGAGCAACGTACCGTGCCTTGAAGACAGGTGGAGAGCCCGGCGGCCGCTTCACCCTGAAGATCCACATGCCACTGACGATGTTCGCCCCAGGAGGGGGAACCGCGTCAACGTAGGTGCCTGTGGACTTCCAGGAAGCCATCTCTGCATCCATAGCTGCCTGCCACTGAGAGGAGTAGGGACCCTCTACGGCCTCCGCGTAAGAACGCGGAGTCGGGATGTCTAGTGCATCCGGGTCTCCCTCAGGGGCAAGCAGTACAGACGCGAGATGAGGTGAAGCAGCCGCTAGACACTGTAACTCCTCCTGCCTGTCCTCTAGGACGTCCGTGCCAAGAGCACACTCACCCCCGACGGACGGAGGACAGACAGACGCAGACTCAGCAACAAGACTAGCAGCGTAGTCGAGACGACAGCGAGCAGCAAAGTCAACGAGCTCAGCGACCAGAGCAGACGCAGCAGTGGACTCAAAAGAGGGGTCAGTGACGACAGTAGCAAGCAGACGCGTGACAGTAGGACTCGCAGCGCGAAGAGAGTCCGACGCAGGGTCGGCAAGCGCAGGAAGAGAGGACTCAGGAGGAGAAGGCAAAGGGGCACGCAGAGGAGCAGTGGACGGACGCAGAGACATCCGGTGCGTGCCAGGGACATGAGGAGGACGCTGACGCGAACTGCGACCACTAGCGCGAGCAGCACGAACAGGCGACGCGGGACGAGACGCAGGCTCACGACGCTCAGCAAGACCTCCAGTAGGACCAGTGTAAGGAGAGGGAGCAGGCAGTGGAGAGGAAGGCTCCAGTAGGGACTGCGACTGGACAGGCGGTGGACCCTCTACTGGAGGAGAAAGACCAAGAACCTGCTGGAGGAGCGGAACGAAGTACGGCCGAGGCCGCGCGGCAGCTCCAGACTCAGCAGGGACAGCACCAGCACCCTCAGCGACAGCACCAGCGCCACCCACACCTCCAGCGGCAGGACCAACAGCAGCAGGCTCAGCACGAACGCCCTCAGCAGCTCCAGCTCCAGGAGGACCCGCAGGTCCAGCAACTCCAGGACCGGCAGCACCCGCACCCTCGACGGTTGAAGAAGCTCCAGCTCCAGCTCCAGCAGCACCTCCAGACTCAGCAGCACGCCTCCAGCGGCGAGCGAACCACTCGCGCAGCTCCGGTGGAGAGAGGGGCTCCCGGCGAGACGCAGCAGCAGGAGAAACCCCAGGCTCAGCAGCTCTAGACGCAGCACCCCCAGGCTCAGCAGCTCCCAGCACAGCACCCCCAGGCTCAGCAGCTCCCGACCCAGCACCCCCAGACCCAGCACCTCCAGGCACAGCACCCCCCGGCTCAGCACCCCCAGGCTCCGCACCCTCCGCAGAAGCACCCTCAGGCCCAGTACCCCCAGCAGTAGCACCCCCAGGCTCAGCACCCCCGCGCACAGCACCCCCAGAGTCAGCACCCCCAGGCTCAGCACCCGCAGCAGCACCAGAGTCACCAGTAACCTCGACCGGGTCAACGGCGTCTACCTGGGACACACCTGAGGGGGCAGGAACCTGAGGGGGGAGGGGGTCTACCGGGGGGGGAACCGGCACAAGGAAGTCCGGGGGAGGGGGGAGGGAAGGAGTACGGTAGGGGAAGAGACGGTAGAAGGGGACTGACTCGTCGAACGTGACGTCCTGGGAGGACAGAACACGACGAGAGGAGGGGTGGTAAAACTGCCACCCTGGGGCGTCAGTGGGGAAGCCAAGGAAGACACAGGGAGCAGCACGAGGGGACAGCTTGTCCGCAGACAAGTCGCGGACAAACGCCCGAGATCCCCAGACACGGAACACAGACGCATCGCCAACCTTCCCCGTCCACAGCAAGGCTGGGGACATCGCAGGCCGAGAGACCCGGGGGTGAAGGTTGAGCTGATGCGCCGCGTACCTCACCGCAAACGGCCACAGAAAATGGGGGGCAGCCGCATGCATCATGGACGTACGAGCGACATCCATGACCATGCCAATGCGGCGCTCAGCAATCCCATTTTGCTGTGGTGAGTCCGGAAGCGTGAAGGTCTGGCGGATCCCCCGTGCACGACAGTAGTCCCGCAGAAGGCGAGAAGAGAACTCTCCGCCTCTGTCCGAGTGCAGACGCAGAACAGGAAAGTCCGAGCCGAAGCTCTTCCTGAGCTGGAGACGAGCCTCGCGGATCCAGTCGATCAGCACCTCAGTGACCGCACCCTTGCTGCGCAAGGGGAGGACTGTGGTGTAACGCGAGTAGTCGTCAACCACCAACAGGAAGTAGCGCTCGTAACCCTGCCCACGGACGGGGGCTGGGCCCCACACATCCATGTGAAGCGTCTGCAGAGGAGCCTCTGTCGAGGGGAAGTGGGAGGAGTGAGGAGTAGCCCGGAGGCGACCCTCGACACAGGGGACACAGGAAGGTCCTAGCCCGGAGGGGAGAGGAGGGAGAGACTGGGGAAGACCAGAGACAAGGACACGGGAAGCCATGCTCCGAAGACGGGGCAAGGAGGGGTGGCCAAGACGGTGGTGCCACAGGAGAGTCTCGTGAGACAGGAGGCGACAAGAACAGGGGGCAGACTCAGGACCTGACCGGGACGCAGCAGCAAGCACCTGACCCAACGCAGCCACCTGACCAGACGCAGGGACAGGAGGAGACTCAACGGTCAGGGTGTAGAGACTCGACCCCGGCCGACGCGAGAACGTGGCCAGGTGTCGGCCTGTGCGTGCCTCCGTGCAGTGGGTCACCCGCTGACGCGCAGGAGTGAACTGGTGAACCCCCACATCCTGCAGGTCCGCTCCACTCACCAAGTCCGAAGAGAACGAGGGAAGGTACAGACCAGACAGGGTGCCCGAAGGGGCAGCCAGACACGGGAGGACAGTGGAGAAGTGAGACAGGACAGGACCCCCAGAGGGGTCAGCAAGGGAGACCGCAACCGGCCGGCCGAGCGGCGTAAGGGTAGTGCGGTCTCGAAAGAAGGAGCGAGAAGCCCCGGAGTCAAGTGTGAAAGTGAGGGAGGACGAGGACGACGCAGCACCTGAGAGCGCAGTCTCACCAGTACCTGAGAGCACAGACGCACTGGCACCTAGAGCAGCAGCCTCACAAGCACCTAGCGCAGCAGTACCAATGCCCGGGCCGGGCTGGAAACACCGGTAACCCTCATTCTCCTCACTATAATCCACAGCATACATAGCAGCAAGGATAGCATCAAAATCAAGATCAAAGATCGCTACACCAGCCCTTAGAAGCTCATCCCAGCGAGAGATCTCACTAGCCCCAGGGAACTGCCGACGCCAAGCGTCCGTCAGGCGGCCAAAGCAGCGCTGGGTGGCGTGGGCACCCCCACACTGCTCACCCGCGCGGTCGCCGGAACGAAGAACGTAGGTGCAGGGACCAGTACCCCCACCCCTCTGACGCCCAGCGTACCACTCACGAAGCTGCTGAGGCGGAGGGATGTCCCGCGAGCGCTGCTGCTGCTGCCGCTGCGAGCGCTGGCCACCACCACCGCCGCTACGCTGCTGGGTACCACCTCGACCAGCTCCACCTCCTCCACCACCACCGCCTGCTCCGCTGCCGCCTCCACCGCCTCCACCTCCGCCGCCTCCACCTCCGCCGCTGCCTCCACCACCACCGCTGGCACCACCACCACCGTCTCCGCCGCTGCTGCCACCACCACCACCACCCCCGCCACTAGTCCCGCCGCCACCCCCACTCCCTCCGCCGCCACCGCCGCCACCGCCACCGCCCCCTCCAGCTCCACCCGCGCCCTTGCCCCCCTTGCCCTTGCTGGAGCGACGTCTCCCACTAGGGGTAGACGCCGCGCCGACCGACTCAAGACCAAGCAGGTCGGCAGCAGCAGCAGAGGCAACAGAGGGCAGCAAGGGGGAAGGAGAGCACCCCTCAAAGATGGGGGTGCGAGGGTCACCACGAGAAGCACCTACAGCGACTATGCTCTTCTCCGCTGCGAGGAGGGCCTTCTCGAGGAGGTCGACGGTGAGGGTGGTGGGACAGACTCCGAGAAAGTGGTCCCTGACGACGCGAAGGGAGTCAGGGAGGCGCGCAACTACGTAGTAGAGAGCGATGTACATGGGGGGTGGGTTCTTAGCGCAGAACTCAGCAGGAAGGGCGGCGCGGTAGCGAGTGTCGCTAGTGCAGAGGTGCGTAATGAGGTCAGCGACAGTGGGAAAGGCAGAGAGGTCAGGAAAGAGGTAGGGAAGCATGAGACGGCTCAGTGCAGCAGTGGCAGGGGAGGAGTAGCGCGCAACTACAGCGTCGTACAAGGTCTGAGCACTCTTGTACTGACTAAAGTGCGCACGCTCAGAGGTAGGGAGGTGGCGACGCACAGCAAGACGTGCAGCAGCATCGCGGGTGGCCCCCTTTGCCATCCCATGTGCTCACCACTCTCTCTACCATCTCATGTGCTCACCACTCTCTCTACCATCTCATGTGCTCACCACTCCCTCTACCATCTCATGTGCTCACCACTCTCTCTACCATCTCATGTGCTCACCACTCTCTCTACCATCTCATGTGCTCACCACTCCCTCTGCCATCTCATGTGCTCACCACTCTCTCTACCATCTCATGTGCTCACCACTCTCTCTACCATCTCATGTGCTCACCACTCTCTCTGCCATCCCAGGTGCTCACCACTCTCTCTGCCATCTCATTTGCTCACCACTCTCTCTGCCATCCCATGTGCTCACCACTCTCTCTACCATCTCATGTGCTCACCACTCTCTCTGCCATCCCATGTGCTCACCACTCTCTTTGCCATCCCATGTGCTCACCACTCTCTTTGCCATCCCATGTGCTCACCACTCTCTCTACCATCTCATGTGCTCACCACTCTCTCTACCATCTCATGTGCTCACCACTCTCTCTACCATCTCATGTGCTCACCACTCTCTCTGCCATCCCATGTGCTCACCACTCTCTCTGCCATCTCATGTGCTCACCACTCCCTCTACCATCTCAAGTGCTCACCACTCTCTTTGCCATCTCATGTGCTCACCACTCTCTCTGCCATCCCATGTGCTCACCACTCTCTCTGCCATCTCATGTGCTCACCACTCTCTCTGCCATCTCATGTGCTCACCACTCTCTCTGCCATCTCATGTGCTCACCACTCTCTTTGCCATCCCATGTGCTCACCACTCTCTCTACCATCTCATGTGCTCACCACTCTCTCTACCATCTCATGTGCTCACCACTCCCTCTGCCATCTCATGTGCTCACCACTCTCTCTACCATCTCATGTGCTCACCACTCTCTCTACCATCTCATGTGCTCACCACTCTCTCTGCCATCCCAGGTGCTCACCACTCTCTCTGCCATCTCATTTGCTCACCACTCTCTCTGCCATCCCATGTGCTCACCACTCTCTCTACCATCTCATGTGCTCACCACTCTCTCTGCCATCCCATGTGCTCACCACTCTCTTTGCCATCCCATGTGCTCACCACTCTCTTTGCCATCCCATGTGCTCACCACTCTCTCTACCATCTCATGTGCTCACCACTCTCTCTACCATCTCATGTGCTCACCACTCTCTCTACCATCTCATGTGCTCACCACTCTCTCTGCCATCCCATGTGCTCACCACTCTCTCTGCCATCTCATGTGCTCACCACTCCCTCTACCATCTCAAGTGCTCACCACTCTCTTTGCCATCTCATGTGCTCACCACTCTCTCTGCCATCCCATGTGCTCACCACTCTCTCTGCCATCTCATGTGCTCACCACTCTCTCTGCCATCTCATGTGCTCACCACTCTCTCTGCCATCTCATGTGCTCACCACTCTCTTTGCCATCCCATGTGCTCACCACTCTCTCTACCATCTCATGTGCTCACCACTCTCTCTACCATCTCATGTGCTCACCACTCCCTCTGCCATCTCATGTGCTCACCACTCTCTCTACCATCTCATGTGCTCACCACTCTCTCTACCATCTCATGTGCTCACCACTCTCTCTGCCATCCCAGGTGCTCACCACTCTCTCTGCCATCTCATTTGCTCACCACTCTCTCTGCCATCCCATGTGCTCACCACTCTCTCTACCATCTCATGTGCTCACCACTCTCTCTGCCATCCCATGTGCTCACCACTCTCTTTGCCATCCCATGTGCTCACCACTCTCTTTGCCATCCCATGTGCTCACCACTCTCTCTACCATCTCATGTGCTCACCACTCTCTCTACCATCTCATGTGCTCACCACTCTCTCTACCATCTCATGTGCTCACCACTCTCTCTGCCATCCCATGTGCTCACCACTCTCTCTGCCATCTCATGTGCTCACCACTCCCTCTGCCATCTCAAGTGCTCACCACTCTCTTTGCCATCTCATGTGCTCACCACTCTCTCTGCCATCCCATGTGCTCACCACTCTCTCTGCCATCTCATGTGCTCACCACTCTCTCTGCCATCTCATGTGCTCACCACTCTCTTTGCCATCCCATATGCTCACCACTCTCTCTACCATCTCATGTGCTCACCACTCTCTCTACCATCTCATGTGCTCACCACTCTCTCTGCCATCTCAGGTGCTCACCACTCTCTCTGCCATCTCATTTGCTCACCACTCTCTCTGCCATCCCATGTGCTCACCACTCTCTCTACTATCTCATGTGCTCACCACTCTCTCTGCCATCCCATGTGCTCACCACTCTCTTTGCCATCCCATGTGCTCACCACTCTCTTTGCGATCTCATGTGCTCACCACTCTCTCTGCCATCCCATGTGCTCACCACTCTCTCTGCCATCTCATGTGCTCACTACTCTCTCTGCCATCTCATGTGCTCACCACTCCCTCTACCATCTCAAGTGCTCACCACTCTCTTTGCCATCTCATGTGCTCACCACTCTCTCTGCCATCCCATGTGCTCACCACTCTCTTTGCCATCCCATGTGCTCACCACTCTCTTTGCCATCCCATGTGCTCACCACTCTCTTTGCGATCTCATGTGCTCACCACTCTCTCTGCCATCCCATGTGCTCACCACTCTCTCTGCCATCTCATGTGCTCACCACTCCCTCTGCCATCTCATGTGCTCACCACTCTCTTTGCCATCTCATGTGCTCACCACTCTCTCTGCCATCCCATGAACTCACCACTCTCTTTGCCATCCCATGTGCTCACCACTCTCTTTACCATCCCATGTGCTCACCACTCTCTCTACCATCTCATGTGCTCACCACTCTCTCTGCCATCTCATGTGCTCACCACTCTCTCTGCCATCTCATGTGCTCACCACTCTCTTTGCCATCCCATGTGCTCACCACTCTCTCTACCATCTCATGTGCTCACCACTCTCTCTACCATCTCATGTGCTCACCACTCCCTCTGCCATCTCATGTGCTCACCACTCTCTTTGCCATCTCATATGCTCACCACTCTCTCTGCCATCTCATGTGCTCACCACTCTCTTTGCCATCTCATGTGCTCACCACTCTCTCTGCCATCTCATGTGCTCACCACCCTCTCTGCCATATCATGCCTACCCGTCCCCTTCCCCTCCCCTCCAATGCGCTCCCCCTCCTATCATCGATGTTGTAACACTTTGCCTTTGCTTGCAGTCGTCCTTGTGGCTGTGGGACGTTTGGGGGAAACCGTGGGGAAATTCTTACCTCCTCATCATGCCCGACATAATGCACCAAGCGGACCTTGGGATTCTCCATCACATAGTTGCTGCGATCCGCTTCAACTACGAAAAGTTGCTGCCATTGTTTGACAGGTTGGATTTGGTGGTTGTGAGATGGCATGTGGTCGAATATGCATGGCTATATGACACGGCAATCATTGTTTTTACATGTTGTTGTGCCAGTGGATCGTCGTCGGTAATGTACCGTGTTTTCACCATCAGTATGTCATTTTGTCATGTTCAGGCGTTTGAATGACCTGAGAGAAATCATTCGCATGACTCATCTTCGGCTACCAAATTCCTCGTACTTCGTGTCCGATGCACAGGTGGCGGCCTTTGAGCATCGGTCTGTCCTGCAGGCAAGTGCCACTAATCTGGGCACAATTTATAGTCTTATGCTCCCCACCCCGTTCTTAACTCCTACCACGTTGACCTTCAACACCTACACACCACACGCCCCCTTACACAACTCATGGTCTGCGAGATTCACGTTTGATGTAACCTGGACTGTATGTTACCTTCCCTGAGTCCACAGGTGCTGATTTTTGTGGTTGCGGACAAGCTCGGGGACCTCCAGCTGAGCGCCATTCGAGCATACCTCGAATGGTATCACTATTGTGCAAGGCTCCCCGGGCACACAGAGAGCACCCTTCAGCGTCTCCAGGAGTTGACATACGAGTGAGCCCTCGCCTTCCACCCATTCGTGCATATCCTTGTGCCCACCCTTGGCTGTTTTGATCCATCTCGTAGACACGCTGCCCCCCCTTTTGTTTTTGGCCGTCATGGTTCGGGGCTTAATTTACATCCCTTCAATGAACACAGCCGCTACCAGGGCATATTTCTTCCTGCCACTTGGACGAGTGGCAAAACTGAGGAGGGCGGGAAGGGCACCTCCCTGCGCGGCACTCTGTCATGCTTCTGACCTCCCCACACGTACTCGCAAGTCAGCCCCTTGTATGCCCTTCTTTCCCTGCCAATAACAGGTAGGGGCAGAGGGGAGTAGGGTGAGAGAGGCAGAGGTGTGTGTGGAGCTTTGTTATGCTCATCTTGCATCACTCTGCGCTGCTACACTTACCAGCCCCTTATGTGCCATTCACCCCATTCACTCCACATCATATATGAACAGTCTTGTGGCAAAGTTGCAAGATGCGTTTCCAACGCAGAAATCGGCATGGTGCATCATCAAGACTCACCTCCTCTCGCATTATGTTCCCGCCATTCGGAGGGCGGGTCATGTGTCGGAATTCTTGACAAACATGTGGGAGCACTTGCACGGTCCTCTTTTGAAGAGAATATACCGCAGATCCAACAAACGCAACGCTGACGCACAAATCATGAAGCATCACGAGAAAAGTGCGGCTTTCATCACGCTCGAGGACGAGGAAGGGGTTCGGTACACGATAATGCAGCAGGTAACTAGATCATTCGAACCTGCGTTTTGAATCAAACCTCTCTTTCTGCTATGGGGTGATTTGGGTTCAATGTCTCTGCCCTCTCATGCCACCATCAACAAGTTTTATCCCTCTCATGCCATCCTAAACCTGATTCTTCCACCCCATGCCATCATCATCCTCTCCACCCTCGGATGCCTTTCTCAACATCCCTGCCCTGCCATGCCATCATCAACATCCCTGCCCTCACATGCCATCATCAACATCTTTGCCATCCCATGCCATCATCAACATCCCTGCCCTACCATGTCATCATCAACATCTCTGCCCTCCCATGCCATCGACATATCTGCACTCCCATGCCATCATCAACATCTTTGCCATCCCATGCCATCATCAAAATCCCTGCCCGCTCATGCCATCATCGCCATCTCTGCCCTTCCACGCCTCCATCAATCTCCATGCCATCCCATGCCATCATCATCCTCTCCACCCTCTGATGCCTTTCTCAACATCCCTGCCCTACCATGCCATCATCAATATCCCTGCCCTCCCATGCCATCATCATATCTGCCCTCCCATGCCATCATCAACATCCCTGCCCTCCCATGCCATCATCAACATATCTGCCCTCCCATGCCATCATCAACATCCCTGCCCTCCCATGCCATCATCAACATATCTGCCCTCCCATGCCATCATCAACATCCCTGCCCTCCCATGCCATCATCAACATATCTGCCCTCCCATGCCATCATCAACATCCCTGCCCTCCCATGCCATCATCAACATATCTGCCCTCCCATACTATCATCAACATCCCTGCCCACCCATGCCATCATCAACATCTTTGCCATCCCATGCCATCATCAACATCCCTGCCCTACAATGCCATCATCCACATCCTTGCCCTACCATGCCATCATCAACATCCATGCCCTCCCATGCCATCATCAACATATCTGCCCTCCCATGCCATCATCAACATCCCTGCCCTCCCATGCCATCATCAACATATCTGCCCTCCCATGCCATCATCAACATCCCTGCCCTCCCATGCCATCATCAACATATCTGCCCTCCCATGCCATCATCAACATCCCTGCCCTCCCATGCCATCATCAACATATCTGCCCTCCCATGCCATCATCAACATCCCTGCCCTCCCATGCCATCATCAACATATCTGCCCTCCCATGCCATCATCAACATCCCTGCCCTCCCATGCCATCATCAACATATCTGCCCTCCCATACCATCATCAACATCCCTGCCCACCCATGCCATCATCAACATCTTTACCATCCCATGCCATCATCAACATCCCTGCCCTACCATGCCATCATCCACATCCTTGCCCTACCATGCCATCATCAACATCCATGCCCTCCCATGCCATCATCAACATATCTGCCCTCCCATGCCATCATCAACATCCCTGCCCTCCCATGCCATCATCGACATATCTGCCCTCCCATGCCATCATCAACATCTTTGCCATCCCATGCCATCATCAAAATCCCTGCCCGCTCATGCCATCATCGCCATCTCTGCCCTTCCACGCCTCCATCAATCTCCATGCCATCCCATGCCATCATCATCCTCTCCACCCTCTGATGCCTTTCTCAACATCACTGCCATCCCATGCCTTCACCCACACTTCTTGCCCCTATTGAGTTCATTCCATTCGCATTCCACAGCGGTAATTTCCCTCCCCTTCTAAACTCACCCATAGGCAATGGACTCGGGGCGGCCAGTCCTGACGAGAGAATCAGAAGCACTTGCTGTTTCTCCGGCAAGTGACCCGACATCGGCCAAATTCTTTGCATCACGGTGGTCGCAGCAGCACCTGCATGCACACAGAGCTCTGACTGATGCCCTTGCAGATTACGGCATTACCTCGCCAACCATTCAAGTATGTAGTGATGGTGTTGATAGCCTTGCTGTCTCTTGCCCTTCCCCCACCTCTCTCTCTCTCTCTCTCTCTCTCTCTCTCTCCCTCTCTCTCTCTCTCTCTCTCTCTCTCTCTCTCTCTCTCTCTCTCGCCATCTTATGCCCTCTCAACTACTCTTACCATGCAAGTTGTACGTACATATACTTATGCCTACTGTGTGGTGTTGTGGCAGACACATACAACATTGGCAGTGCCAGCATCCAATGCATCAAACGCCTCAAGAGTTGCTCATTTTGTGAGAGCAACTCCCGAGTGCCACAAGAGGCCCTGGTTTTCAGACATCGCTGTTTGCTGTGAAGGGGGGACTGTGGCCTACGCAAAGCTGTTGTTGTTGTTTCATTGTTTCCAAGGTGGGCAACGCTATGAACGTGAAGTTACCCCCGCATCGAATCCGAACTCGGTCTACGCGTTCCCGTATTGCCAGTGTCAGAATATTATTCTTATGTTCTAGCCTGTAGTGGGGTGCTCTATAGCGAGTACAACCCTTCTAGGGTTTGTTATTTGTATCCCCATTTCGGCTAGTTCATTCCTCTATCTTTCTTCTAATTTTGTCAGCCAGCGGCGTGCCGTCTACCAGTCGTGCGTCGATCCTAGGTAAGCATCGGTCCAGTGGCAGTCGCAGTTTTCGTGCTGTAGCAGTGTTAATGAGGCTGTGGCTGGCTCCCCCGTCTACGAAGATTTTAACTAAGTCCGTCCCAATTTTCCCACTGAGCAGTATAGGGCTATCTACCGTGGTACCCTCCTTATTCGGCCGGGTGTGGTCGATTGCGTGAACCGGCACAATCACTCGGTGAGGGTCGGTTGGGTCGAGCGAGCGGCGTGACCTGTCAGTAGAGGGCCCGTCTGCTACTGACTTCCAGCGTTTCCCTGCTGCTTGGTCTGTGTCTGCTGCTCAGCTTCCCCCTTTCCCTTAGCGTTTTCCGGGCATTCGCTCTTGCGATGTCCCGGCCGATTGCACGCAAAGCAGCGCCCTTTGAACGGTGCGGCAACGGCATTTGCGGCGACGGCGCGTATCGTGGCGCTCTTGTTCGTCCCACGAGGTCGATGTCCCCAGGTGTTGTTTCCGTAGGACCCCGGTCTCGGTCGGCGAAAGAAGTCGAGCTTCTCTGCCATAGCGAGAATTTCCTGAAACTCAGTGACGCCGCGAAGTTGGATTTCCTGAGCGATGTCCTGCTTCAGGCCGCCGATGTAGCGGTCGATGCGTTCGCTCTCATGCATGTAGCCCACCTGCTCGCATAGCGCCAGAAATCCGCTCGTGTAATCCTGGACGGAACCGAGTTGGCGCCAAGTGCGGAGCTTCTGTCGCGCCGAGATCGAGGCCGCGATTGGCTCAAATCGAGCGCGCAGACCTGCGCACCACGCGTCCCACGTGCGATACTGGGGCACCTCCACGAAATACGACGGCGCCCAGGGTCCGGTTTGTCCTTCCCGTGTCGGTAGTGTCGCGTAGTCTGTCGGCTTCGTGACGATGACGCGCCACCAGTCCATGGCGGGTCCTCGCAGCAACGACACGGCGTATCGAATCTTCGCCGAGTCCTCCGAGACGTAGTTGGCGTCGAAGAAGACATTCATTGTGAACAACCACGCCTGGACGGTAGGACCACCCCGCTGACTCGAGTCAAAGCATGGCGGGCGCTGCGGCTTCAGTGGCATCGGTGACGGCAGTCCCGAATCGTGGATTGGTGCCGAGATCGTGACGCGAGGCTGACTTGGGGTCGCAGGCGTCGCTCTGGGGTGTGTCGTGCCGTGGTCGTCGTCTCCGTCGGGGCGGACGACGCCATCACTGGCCGCGCTCGCGGGTTGCCCTACACTCCCGTGTTGTGATGTTGAGGGTGCGGGTTGAATCGGAGTGCCAGGTGCTTGAGATTGTGCTCTCATGAGGTCATTTTGCAGTGATGAGCGTTCTGCCGTCAATGCCGCGATTTCCTCGGAGCTTTCGTGCAGTTGTCGCAGCAGATCGTTCAAACGCTCCTGCGTGAGAGTGGTGACGTCGATATTTTCGGCCATGACGAAGGGCGTCGGCTCGTCTTAGTCTAGGCGCAGTCGTGGCTGCACGCGTTTACGAGAGAACGCGAGGGCAGCGGCTCCTAGGGGCTAAGGTGCGTAGGTCCCTTCGAGTGAAAAATCAAAAGTTGATTTCCTGGTGTGCGGAAAAATGCGCGGTCCGAAAAGAAAGGGGCTCGGATACCAAGTGTTACGGGTGCAATGAATCGAAGTAGCGAGAATTGCACTAAGGTGTCAAACGAGTACAAAATGTGAGCGAAGGCATGAGCGAACATTTATACGCGAATTATGCAAAACGGTAACGCGGTGCGTGCGAGCTTGCTGGTGCTACGCTGGAGCGAGGCTCGGGCTAGTCCCGAAGCGTAGGCCGATACGGCCATGCCAGCAGTGCGAGGTTTGGCAAAACAGTGCGCGCGAAGTTGGCGAAGTTCCGTTAGCAGTAACGGGCGAACAATCGGCTGTTGCTGTACGCGATGTAGTCGGCTCCGTAAGGAATGCCGAGAAAGTTCCTTACACCTACAAAATATGCATCAGCTATAGTAATATGACATGATCATACATGTAACGCCCACCAAAAGTACTTGATATTATGCAATTTTTCCGCCCGCGCCAAACCAATGTACTGATTTCGAAAGAAAAAATCTAAAACCCAATTGGAACGGATGCGATTTGGGGACGGACCAACCCTAAACACTGGGCGGGTTGCGCGTTTAGGGTTGATCAATCCGAAAATGCATCCAGATACCTTTTGGGTTTCATCTTGTTTAGGCGGGAGTTTCATCTATGACCATTCGCCTGATTTATTCCCTGTTTATTCATCTTGAAAACACTGTTGTGATCGTACACTATATTTTGTTACATTTTTTTCCGAGACCCTTGTTCATTACGAATGGCATATTTTCCCATCGTGTAATCGTTACTTGAAGCGCACTTGAAGATGTGCATAACGCACCACCTGAAACGACAAAAACATGTGCATGACAGTCCCAGCCGAGTTTCGTTTCGACAGAAGTCGTCGCGTCACGTCAACATCCAATTTCTGTTCAGTCTGCCTGAGAGACCTACTCATCTGGAGTGTCTGTTTGCACATGCCATTTTGTGTGCTCCTGGAATTGCAGGCGCAAATGCGAACTCTCCCCCCAAAAACGTAGCAGTTACAGCTCGGCGTAATATTCGCAAATGGCTGTTTCTCTGCTAAAACTCCATCCCGCTTGCCTGAGTGTTATGATTGTTTAGAACGCGGCCTTCACTGTTGTTTTTTTAGTTCTGGGCGTCCGTGTTTTCAGAGCTCAGTTTCCTCCCGTATTCTAAAGTACTAGAATCTGGCTCACATATTACAGTACTAGAATCTGACTCTGCCACACTGAAAGGGAAAATATATGGAAAGTTGCCCAATGCCAAGTCAAACCCTTGACTGCTCGCAGTCCTTGGAATTTGCATGACTTTTGTCATCGACCGTGAAGTCAAGCCAATTTGATCTGACGTGGCAGCTTTCGGCAGTGAATTGGCTTCTTTCAGCTCGTAGCACAGCTCAGCTCGTGTCAGCACAGGCCCATTCTCGAAGACGTGCGAAGCTATACCCGACTCGCATATTCGCGGTGCGTTGATTCTCAAGCCAGCCTCCTAGCTTTCTTGATTTGAATCGAAGACACCAGCCTCAAGCTCCTTGCTGAAGTTGTTCACAACTGCTACTAGTTTCCCCACACTGGCAGCCATATCTAAGCAATTACTACGCCATCCTGTTCCGCAAGGAGGCTCCAGCTTGTTTCGAGTCTGTAATTACAATATGAAAACACGCGCCTCTTCGGGCTGTTTCGCCGCTGGTCGAAGAGCCGTGGGAGGGGCATCGTGGCTACTGGTTTTTTTCGCCATGGTGCTTCTGGGAACACCTTCTCCGACTGTCGCACTGCACCCTGACGAGGACAAACCGACCGGCCCCTTGACACAACCTAACGGATGTGCCAAGAAATGCAGAACTCTTATACTGGGGTATAATATCAGCAAAGTAACCGACACGAGGGCGTTTCCAGTAAACGATGTCGCGAACTACAACTTTGAGCGCTACAATATCGGCAACATGGCTATAATCGAAGACGCCGGGCCTACCCCAGGGGTAATCCCTTTTTTAGCCATATCACGTTTAGACCATGTTGCCTACTACATTCCCAAGAGGTTCTTTTGCGTTTTCTTTCACCACCATGGTGCTCAACGCGTCTATTTTTGCTAAGCTATCATGTGGCACATGCACATTCCTTTACCGTCCTTTCCCGTCGCTCGTCTTCGCAGACCATCATGGAAAAAACGGAATGCTGTCAGCGCTGCGCCAAGCAAGTTGGCTGCAAATTCTGGCAAATGCGACCCACTAAACCAGGCCAAGCGTAAGCATCGCCACCGATGCTACTAGTAGTAGTAGCCCTCCTCCGTCGCATGATCGTTCACGTTGTCGGTTCACCGGCCTGCTCTTTCTTTGCACTCCCCTGTGAGCCCCTGCCGTGGTAGCAATGCTTCTTTCCCTCACGCAAGCTTCTACCTTTTGGAAATGTGATTTCAACGTTTGATGTCAACGCCTCCGCTTTCGCTTTGTGAACTAGTATCTTGATTTCCCTCTTTCCCTTCTAGTTTCGTACCTGCCAAGTAGTACTTCCCGACGACTCCTATG